CACATATATATGTAGTTTATTTTACTTTTATTTATTTTATTTTGATGTAGCTCATTCCAGCCTGATGATTACTTCTGTTAATTATATTTTCCCTTTCAAGTGTTTTGTAAATTTTCATACTTTAGTTTAATAATAAAAAAGCTAAAATCTTTCTACTTTTAATTAGCATTTTGCTAATTTTACCTTTTTGCTAGCAGTTAGCTACTTTTTCCATCTAGCTAGCATTTTTGATACTTTAATTTATCAGATACTGTTTTAAACTTTTATTTACAACCTAGCATTTAGTTAATTTTAGGTAATGTTTTGCTGTTGTAAGCTAGCATTTTCAAAGTTTTAGCTCTAAGCTTGCAATTAGCTATTTTTTACCTTTTGGCTGGCATTGAGCCACTTTTAACTAGTGTTTTGCTACTTTTATTCATTAGCTAGTATTTAGCTACTTTTAGTTTTTATTTAGGTAGTTTTAGATAGCAACTTTTAGCTCATGTTTTGCTACTTTTAGCTAGAATTTTGTGGTATTTGCCCACTGAAAGTTAGCATTTTGCTAATTGTACCTTTTAGCTAGTTACCTTTTTCATCTAGCTGGTGTTTTGCTACTTTTTATTTATTAACTATTTGGTTAAGTTTAGCTGGTGTTTTGCTACTTTTAGCTGGAATTTTGCTTGTTTTAGCTTGCACTTAACTAGATTTTACCTTTTGGTTAGCATATTGCTACATTTAACTAGTTTTTTTGCTAATTTTAATTGTTGTTTTGCTACTTTAATGTAGTAGCCAGTGTTTTAGTTTTAGCTAGCATGTAGCTTCTTTTAGGTTTTAACTAGCATTTAGCTATTTTGAATTAGCTACTTTTAGCTCATGTTTTACTGCTTTACCTTGGTATTTTGCTATTTTTACATTTTAGCTAGAGTTTTGCTACTTRCATCAGCTGGCCTTTTGCTACTTTTAGCTAGTTCTATTTTACTTTTAAGTTTTAACTGACATTGCAGTTGTTTTATGTAGCTTTTGCTCCAGATTTAGCTAGTGTTCTGTAATTTTAGCTTTAGCTCAACATTAGCAGGTGTAGTTTTAGTTCCGTCGTGTGACGCAGACTGACGTGAGTTTACCTGTCTCCTCTACAGGAAGTACCACACACACCTGCTGCAGTTTGACGGCGAGGGAGGCTGGCGCTTCGAGCAGCTGGACTCGGCGACGCGCCTCACCCTCACCGAGGAGAAGCAGCGGCTCGAGGCTCAGCTCGCCGGCATCCCCGAGATGCAGAACCGCCTCAACGAGCTCTGCAAGATCCTGGGCGACGACTCGGTCCTGAAAACAGCCGAGGAGTGACAGTGAGGGTCCGGGGCGGGGTGGGGGGGATAAATGAGGCGGGACAAAGAGGAAGGAGGGGACGTGTGTGACACAAGGAGGCAATGAAAGAAAAAGAAACGTAGAAATGTTTGTTTTAGGTTAAATGGTTCTTTTTGCTCTGAGCCTCACTTGTTGAAGCAGTTTTCTCCTCCCTCCTCTGTTCAAACCCTGAGTTATCCTGCTGCTGCCCGACAGGTGAATGGGGCGGGGCTTCACTCCCTCTTCTAACACACTGACTGTATTTTCAGGTGTAGACTTTTAATTAGCGCTGCACAATATATGGAAAATTTATCACATTAAATAAAAAAAATACCAATATCAGGAACATTTTTGTCAAAATGACCATAAAAATAGGAAATTATCGAGATATTTGACAAAAATATTGCATTTTTTTTCTGGATGCACCGATACCAAACTGAGTAAAGTACTTCGATTTTAGTAGCATTACAAAGAACCTCTATTTGTATGTTGAAAAAACATTTTAATCTTAATTTTCAGCACAAGAGGCTCTACTTTGCTAAAACCTAAATAAACGTAAAAAAAATTAGTGTTTGGTTGATTATTATTTTCTATTTTCAATAAAACACAGAGCCTGTTGTGGCTGTGTATGGTTCTTCCACATGCTACTGAGGCCCCTCTTTGTTAAAATGATAAATTATTAATTATCCAACCCAATAAACGACAACAAACGCACATCAAGCTGTTCGGCAGAGAAGATTTGTTACGTTTTTAAACCCAAACAAATGTGTCGCCGTTGAAAGAGAACGCAAAACTGAAACATTAGCTTAGCGTTAGCTTAGCACCTACCTCAGAGACGTCAGTAACTCCATGGCTCTCATGGATTCTGTATTGGTGCATTCGTTTTCCAAATACTGTGCAGCTCCTTTTTTTTAAACCCTTTCAGCCTGGGAGCGCAGGAGAAAGTAACCGAAATGTGATTTAGCGACCGGAGCTGATTGTTTTGTGATTTTATAGCACTTTACCTTCAGAGGGCTGGTTTCTTACGTCCGAAGCAGTATTCCAGACGAGCTGTGACAAGTTTTCATATTGTTTGTTTTTTGATCCTTTTCTCCGATACRTTTATAGTGATTTACCTCAGATAGAAAAAAAAAAACAACAAACTGCAGGATCTTCGTTTGTTGAACAAACAACGAGACGAGGCGAGTCTGTTTAGACGCTTGATACAACCCCGAGCAGCAAACATCCATCAGATATATGATTTTTTTTTAGTCAAATAAAGTGTTTTCCTGCGCTTTACTTCCCTATTAACCTCACATTTAAACAATTCATTCTCTCATCATGAACGACAGGCTTATCRGGATGAATGAAACTGTAATTCAGGCTTAGAGTTTCCTGCATGAGCTGCAGGTCGGATCAAGCTTGACGCTGTGAAGCTTTAAAAGCTGGTTTTCTCTGGTTCAAACCTGTGTTTTCCCTCATGAATCCGTTCAGGAGCGGAAAAACTTTTGCCTTAACAGAACTCTTATTGGAGCGGGAGCTTTTAGGAATTAATCCTGGGRTTGTGCATTTGAATCTGAACTGTTAGGCTCTGGCTTGTTTTAAAAGTAGATCCTTTGTGTTTCTGTAGTTTTCTAGTTTTAACCTTGTTAGAAATGTAACTAACATCCAGCCYGCTTTAACAATACCTCCCTCTTATTGATGTAGTGAATCAAGACAATCAGATCCATCGTGTCTGTTAAGAATGTAGATTTTTCTCCTGTTTCTTAGTGAAACTCTAGTGAATGTCGTTGCATCAGCATGTTTGCTGAAGGACGTTTTTTTTAAACCCCTAAAAACCACAAAGACCAATTCTGGCTGCTTCAAACTGATTAAAGCACCTTTTCTGCCCCGTGATGGTCATTTTATGTGATCTAGGCTGCAAAAAGAGAATAAAGCTTTCATTATGTACGAGCTGAAATAAATGCTGCTTTCTGCCCAGGCTGTGTTGACAGGAGGAAACTGAATGACGCAGAGTCTGGACACTGAAGCATCATCACAATATTTCTGCTGACAGGAGGAATATAATTGTTTTGTCACATTTGTTTTTAGAGTTCTTTTTAAAGAGCTTCAGCTCTTCTCTGCTGCCCCCTGCTGACCAGAAGGACTCATAACAGGCTCACCCTTTCCTTTTTTTTTAACAGAACCTGCTTTTAATCCACCTTCAGTGCTTTGAACGCCTGTAACTTTACTCCACTCCTCCTCCATCAGCKGATTCTGTACGGTTTAACTTCAACTTTCAGGTCATCGGTTCAAAACTTGTGAACTAACGTCACTTTATGTCTGAAAGTGAAGMTGTATTTTATTGTAAATAAAAGAAAATGACGCGAACTAAATGATTCTTCTTGTGCTTTTATTTCCTCGACACCCCGCTGCAGCGTTGCTTCAATTCAACAAACGTCTGAATTTTGAAGTAACGCTGCAGAGACACACAAAATAAGTCATTTAATTGGACAGAATCAGACCCTTAAAGGTTTATTCTGAATTTAAATAATTGGAATTTATTGAAAATTTATAATAATCGCTTTTGTGTTTCATTGCTTCATGTTTTTTTAAAGTTAAGTGCAGTGGCAATGTTCGTCCAGTAGATGGCAGCAGAGTCCAGCAGCCAGGTTTTAGTTGCAAATTCACAAATTTTATATTTTGAGTTTACAGTCTTTAATATTTAAGTCTATATAGGTGTGTACTGATGAACTTAATATTTCATTTTTAGGCTTAGAATGTTTATATTTACTTAGTTTAAGTGCTTATTTTATTTAATGACTTGTTAAACAACCTGTTTTTTTATTTTTAATATTTATTTAGTACGATAAACATTCTCATTCAAGATTCATTTGTTTTTGTTGTTTAATAAGTCTATTATAATTGCATTGACGTGTTCTACTACATCTCAGGAGCTGCGACGTGACTATTGCACACATGCAGCTCTAATAGTTGATGCTGTAAGACTAAACACCGAACTTGTCCTGATTTACATGAAAATTAAATCTAATTAAATCTCATTTATTTGTAATTCCCTAAATATGTTAACATTTGATCAGTTCTGCCTTTTTTCTGATATTGTTTCTGACGTTAGAGGTGGCKTTTATTGAACCCCTGCATGTTTAAAATTAAACTTAGCTATAAAACTAAAAAAATTTACAGCAGCTGCACACACGTGAACATTTACTCGTTTGAGTTTTAAGAAACATCTTATTTAGGATGAAGTTATTTGTTTAATGTTATTCAGATTCATTAATTAATGACCACACAACAAGTATTATTGTTTTATGTTAAAAACAGAAGTTAATTGAGTTGTGTTAGTATGTGTTATATTATATTTTATTTATCAATCAATCATTAATAGATAAAACCAGAGTGTCCTGAGAAAAGCCCATGYATGCAGCCTCCAGCTAAATTTTGATAAGAATAAAAAAATGAGATAAAATTGATGAGTGCAGTGATAATATTCATCCACTAGATGGYAGCAGAATATGGCAAGCATGATTTATTTTAATTTATTGTAGATTTAATTGTCCTTTTTAAATATGTATTTTCTGAAAATCATAAAATTAATTATTTTTAGTTAATCTATTAATAAAAACGAAATTAACATATATTTAGTACCCTGAGTCGCGTTAAATTAATTGTTTTTGCAAGTCTGTTGTGTGTTGTTTAATTGGTGTCACAATGGGCGTTCAGTTAAATATTTTACTTCAATAACAAGAAGATATCAATTATGAGATTACCATGAACTTTAACAACTGATCAAATAAACCAATTAGCAGAGAAATAAAAATATAGCAAAAAGAAAAAAACATTAAAATAAATAAAGAGAAATGAAAACAATAATGATAAAATTAAAAATTTGTTTGTATCAGATTAAATTCTGAAATAAATCAGAACTGTTTGAGGCTGACCAGAGGGCTAGCCCTGTTTGAATGCTAGTTATTCAGCTAGCAAGACTTTTATTATTAAATTATCAAGATCAAATGAAGTATTTTTTAATTAGCCAGTTAGAAAGCTAGCTATCTCTACCTAGCTACAATTTCAAACTTCCCTCTAAACATTTAAGTATATTAATTAAATGTGTAGTTTACTAGCTGGCCATAAGCGCAGTGACGAATTCTAACCGCTAGAGGGYGTCAAAGAGCCATGTTTTTACCCTGTGAGCAGCCACATGCAAACTATTTACATACATAATCCCCTGTTTATTTGATTAAATATTAAAAAAAAAACTCATACAAAACGCTCTGAAGCACAGAGTAGATGGGTTTATTTAGATAGGATTATTTACTTTTTAGCATATTTCATCTAAGTACTCTGTACAATCGGTCATCCTCCCCGTTAGGTCGGTACAGCTCGGTGGGTGGAGCTCAGTGACGTAACAGACCTTGAGAGGGCGGGGCGGGGTGAAGCGTTTTTGTGCTCTTGCTCCCCCCCACACGTGCCGCTCTCCACCCGGACAGGAGCAGCGATGCTGCTGGAGAGGTGACCGCGGTCGGAGTCGACCATTGTGGAAAACGTTTCCGTTTAGCAGCTCGGTAAAACAAAAACAAATGTTAAAAATGTGTTTATTTCTGCACCGGAAGCCGAAGGTTGAGGCGGTTCAGTGAAGAGGAACGGGGAGGAGGAGGGAGGAGGAGGGAGCCGGAGCCTCTCTCGACTTAAGAGGATAAAGAAAAGGGAAAGCGGGCTGTTTGGAAGCGGACCGGCTAGGTGGCACCATGGGCAGCGGACCGGATGAGAGCTCGGTGCGGGTGGCTCTGAGGTAAGGATGGAGAGAGGAGGACCCTCCTCTTCCTCAGTGATGCTCCTGCGATACACCTGCTTCATCATCAACATATTAAATTAAAAACATACCTAAATAATTTAAAAACATCCTAATCTTTTCATTGCTTTTTTTGAGTTAGCCTTCTCAGATTAGCTTAGCATAAAACCTGCCTTATAATGTTTATGAATGATCAAGAGGGGATTAGGCCTTTGTCTGTTAGCAAAATATCTCCTAAACCAGTGATCAGATTTAAATTAAACTTTCAGAGAATAGTCATTGGATTTACACCTACACCTGGTTAACTTTTAGAGCCAACCCAATTCAAGATGGCCACTACAGCTAGCTTACATCTATAAACACAAAAATGGTTTTAATTCAGCCAATTTATCAGTTTTTGAACTACAGTTTAGTGTGTTAGTAGCTGAGACTGACCTCCAACAAATGATCTATTGCTACTAGTTTGCAATTAAATCTTTGTTTAAAACTTCGCACATTTACTAAATGAAATTTAAAGCTTTAATGAAAAATTGTAACCAATTAGCATTTACCTACAAAAAACATCAAGTGTGTAAAAATAGGTCAATAACAGCAACATTTATTGAACAAAACAGCCCACAGTTTTGATGTATTTGTACATATATACACTTTGATTTGTTGTGTAAATTACGTAGGTAAAACTCCTTTGTTTACATTGATCGCGTACCTGCATTTCAGATTTATTCATCAATATACCTGGAAAACTACTGCGCCTTTTTGATGTATTTTAATGTGTAATTGAGTGATAGCAAGAGGCCACTTCATGCTTGTGTTTTTATTGTCTGTAAATAGATTAAAGTCCAAATAAACGTATGTAAGAAACTATAAACAGGATCCCACATCAGTGGCACATGACTCAACTAAAGCCTTAATGAGAGCAAGGCTAGAGGAGGATAACGTGACGGTGTTGGCGTGTTCTTCTGTCCTTGTGTTTGTGTTGAAAACCTGAAAAGTCATGTGAGCTCAGGACAAAAAGCTGCTGCCGCTCATGTTTCTCAGCCTCCCTCTGCTCCTCGTTGTGCGTTCAGACTCTTGTTTACCCAGCAGACTCAGTTTACAGGTCCGGCCCTTCTCCTTCACAGATAATAAATAATCTATAAGTTGATTTCATCAGAGCAGGAGACTCTCCTGACAGCTGACAGATTATGTTCGGCTGCTTGGTTCAGACACTGAAGGGTGATCATGTTTTTGCCTCGAGGCTCAGTGTGTGTCCGCCTGTTTGCATCAAGTATGAATCACTGGATACGTTTTACTGAAACTCTCAGTAATTATTGGCTGCAGCTAATATTACAATCCTAAACTTGGAAATACTGCAGATCTTTTCTACTTCTTTTAAAATTTTTTTTTATTAAAATCACTAGTGTACTTCTTTTTTATGCTACTTTTATCTTTTGGCTACGTTTAGCTGTTAGCTAGCCCTGCTGATTAGGGCTACGTATTGGCAAGAATTTGGCGATACGATACATATCATGACAGAGGGGTCACGATATGATATATCCCGATATATTGCGATACTGTACGCAAGGCAATATATTGCGATTTTTTTTGTCCAAAAATTCTATTAAATAAAAACCTCATTGAAAAAAAAGAAAAGCTAATGTTTACTTACAATGCTAATGCTACCCTTACTCTCTGGCGCTCAAGAGGTAGAGGAGCCAAATGGCTGGCTCACTGCTGCCAACTAGTGGTCAGAGGCTGAACTACAACATAAAAATGAACGGTTGGCAGGAAAGTTGACATTTTAAACCTTAATAAAAAATCAATACAGGGCTTTAGAATATCGATACAGTATTGGGAAATGAAATACCGCGATATTTCAGTGTATCGACATTTTCTTACACCCCTACTGCTGACAGAGTTTTTAGCTCCTGCTCTGCTACGTTTTGTTAGCTACAATTCGTCTATTATCAGAATTTAGTTAGCTTATTGTAACTTTTAGCTTTAAGAAAGCTTTTTTTGTTACATTTAGCTTCTGTTTAGGATCCTGCTACCTTTAGCTTTTAGGTAGCAGTTAGCTATTTTTAGCTCCTCGTTGTCATTTTTGTAGTTTTAGCTCGTAGTAATTAAATCCTTAGCTTTAAACTAGCTTTTTGCTGCTAATAATAGCAATATCCTGGGGTACTTTGTAGCTTCCATTCTGCTACTTTTAGCTACCCATCTGCTATGTTTAGATTTAGCAAAACATTTTGGTTCCAGTAATACTTCTGCTGCTTTTAGCTTCTAGTTGCCATTTTTGCAGTTTTAGCTTGCACCTAGTCATCTTTCTGCTTAGCTTGTAGCTAGTCAGATCATTAGCTTTAAGCTAGCTTTCTGCTGTTCTTATTGTTTTCCTGGTCTTTTGCTACTTTTAGCTGTTAGCTACCTTTTTGTTACTTGTAGCTTTTAGGTAGCTTTTAGCTTCTAGCTGTCAATGCTTTCTAGTTTTAGCTGATATCTATACATTTCATTGTTATTTTTTCTAGTGTTCTGTTACTTTTAGATTTAATCTACCATTCTGAAGCTTTTAGCTGTTAGCCCTTCCTTAGCAACTTTAATTTCTTATATTGTATACATTTTAGCTGTTAGCAAGACTTTGGCCTCTCTAAGCTTTAAGCTAGCCTTTTGCTACTTTATGTTTAACATGTAATAAACCTTTTCTAGCTCTAGCCTGTAGCTAGTCATTTGACTCTTAGCTTTTAGCTTACCATTCTGCACATTTTAGCATTTAGCAAGCCTTTTTCTATTTTTGCTTTAATCCAGCCTTCTGCTACTATAAGTTACAGTATATTTGCAGTAAAAGTTTTCTTATTTTTAGCTTGCAGCTTGTAATTTGATTCTTAGCTTTTATCTTTAAATTCTTCATGCTTTAAATTTAAACTTGGTTTTTGCTACTTTTAGTTCTACTTGCAGTGATTTTTTTTCCAAAACTTGTAGCTTTTACCTGAGCCAGCTTTAGC